AATTCCAGAAAAATTCCTTACCTACAGAAGTTGGCATGTGTCTGCCTTATGGAAAGTCGCAATCTAAGTACGTATCATTTGACTTTCTGTAAACATCAATTTTTAATGTAAATTTTTCTCACTTTTTAAACTAATTCTTTTAAAGTTGAGGAGACAAAAGATGTCGAAGCTCCGCGCTGAGGTAAATTTGACAAACATCGCAGGCGCTGTCCGGCCAGTGTAGCTACTTGGCGTGACGCGGAAGTAGAGTGCCACGCTGGCACCGGGTAGGAACAAGTCAGGCGGAGAGAGAGAGAGAGAGAGAGAGAGAGAGGAGAGAGAGAGAGAGAGAAGAAAGAGAGAGAGAAAGAGAAGAGAGAGAGGAGGGAAGAGAGAGAGAGAGAGAGAGAGAGAGAAGAGAGAGAGGGAGAGAGAGAGAGGAGAGAATGAAGCTTCCCCTTGGGTAATTTCGAAGCCATTACGGGGCTTGGATTGAAAAGAACACAACCGGATGAATTCCCACCGAGCGTCCGACGATTGTTTGCGGCAGGACTGGTCCGCTGCGAGAGAGAGAGAGAGAGAGAGAGAGAGAGAGAGAGAGAGAGAGAGAGAGAGAGAGAGCACGGGTTGAAAAGTAAGGACCGTGAAGAGGACTCGCTCGCTCACCCGGGGAAGCCGCTGGCCCTGGTGCGACGGTCGTGCAGCCCCAGGGGAACCAGGCCACGGTTACGGTGTGCTGCCAGTGCCGACAGCGCATTGCAGCCTCGTCAATACTCCGCGACGCGAGAGAGATAAGGCAACCATTAAAAAGTTACTCGTGCGCGGAGTAGCGTCGTCACTGCACTGCGCGCCGATTCCAACCACGATTTTCTCTGGAGCCCTCAACCTGCGCCCCTCCCCTTTACCCACCCTTGCCTCAGCCGGCACGCCTTTTTTCCCCTTTTTCGTCTCGGAACCCTTTAATCTTAGGCCAACGTCGCCCGGCGTTCAAAGTCACCCCGCTGACAACTTTTGGTCGGCGCCTTTGCCGTGATCGGGGTTCAAGGTCACGGCGCACACCTCCAAGGTCGCCGCCCTAGCCGCCCTAGCCTCGCCCCGCAGCGCTTTCGTTTTACTGCGGATACACGGTAAAATGGCGCGATGGACGAATCCAGCCACCGACCGGCCCCTCCCTCCGGACTCCACCGGGGCGATACCAGGGCGATACGCTCGCCTGTTTATTGTTTGGTTTGGCGCGCTTGGCGCCGAGAGCCCGCAGCGAGGCGGCGGTGGCGAACCCGGTTTTATTCGTCGCGAGAAAGGGGGAACTCGTCAACCGGCAGCGTCGCTGGAGACGGATTCCGAGAGTCGCTTTCGTCGCTCTGTCTCTCTCGCACACATAGGGCGGCCCGAATAGGTGCGAGAGAGACAGAGCGACGGAGCCTACTCTCGGAATCAGGCTGCTGGCGAGGCGGCCCTGAATGCCAAGCAGTAGCGACCAATCCGACTCGGGGCGCGCAGCGGGGAGAGTACCTTGTACCGAACCGAAGGTCGCGGAGGAGCGATTGCTGGACCCCTCATTCAAGGGGCGACTACCTCACATTCACTGAAATATCAACTCCAAAACACTCCGAAGGAAATAAGCATGGCCACGGGAGAAAAATAAGATTCGACGCCGTGTTTCGCCGTCTTGGACAGAGCTCAATTTTACGGGTGTGCTGTCACAGGAAAAAATGGGCGGCCCGCAACAACAACTAGCCGTGTCACGCGGCCAAATTTCGCGGCCCAAATAATGGTCTTCATCATCATGTTCGCCGCGAGGCCCGCGAGGGAGCCGAAATTCGGGCGCGAAAGGCCACGGCCGCGGTGGGGGCACGGCGGGGCACGGCGGGGCAAAGGGTCGATGAACGAACGTACCCTCCAAGGCCGGAAGGGATGCAGCCCGTCGTGAAAACCGGAGAACACCCTCCGAACAGTTCACGGCCGATAACACCAGCCCCGACCCGAGCACAGGCAGGGCAGGCAGCACAAGCCGCACCCCATTTACAATGTAAAGGAGAAATGAAAGCGGGGGGAAAATGAGGGGGGGAAAAGCGTGGAAATTAGCATTGCTTTCCGCACTGCTCGGGAAATAATAGCCCGCAATTTCACAGAGTAGGGGAAAAAATAGCAACGGGGTCAGACTTTCCGGCGGTACACCACACGCTGAACCGAAAAAAAATCTAATAAGTCGGATTTTTTTCGTGTCCGTTTTTTTTGTGTGTTTACAGGAGAACGGAGCCAGTGTTTCCCTCGCAACAATTTCACTCTGTTCCAATTACAGGTACACCAATACGGGCTTGGGCTCATTAGCAGTGCCCCTGCTGGTGATTAATTAAAGACAGGGAGTCACTGCGAGATCACAGAGGGAGGGAGAGAGGAAGAGACGGGGGGGGGGGGGGGGGAAGCAGGAGCCGAACCGGAGCCGCGCTGAGCCGGGACGAGCCGGAACCGAGCCGCACCGGAGGAGTGCCCCAGGGAGCGGCGAGGACGCGCATCACCAAGCAGCAGGCAGCCGACTCGGTGGTATTGGCCGGCCGCCACCCAGGCCACCATCCAGGTCACCATCCAGGCCACCATCCAGGCCACCATCCAGGCCGCCACCCAGGCCACCATCCAGGCCACCATCCAGGCCACCATCCAGGCCACCATCCAGGCCACCATCCAGGCCACCATCCAGGCCACCATCCAGGCCACCATCCAGGCCACCATCCAGGCCACCATCCAGGCCACCACCCAGGCCACCATCCAGGCCACCATCCAGGCCACCATCCAGACCAAGGGGTAACCAACTCAAGATTTTCATGTACACTGATTATATTTAAAGTATGATTACATGTGATTTCTTTTGATTATTTTATTATTTATCAGTGATTATAGGAGGTTATTATGTTGATTATTGGGAAATATTGGGGATTATTTGAGCGCCGACCTCGAAAAGCTGTTTAGTCGGAAATTCAATATTGTTGACTTTGGGCAGCCACTGCGTCAAATTTAGTTGCGGTCATAGGCCTTTCTCGACGCCTTACTATTGTGAAGACCCTACTCTTTCATGCCCCGCCTCGGGAAGGCTTTGACCGCTGATAGTTTGGGAGCAGTAGTCTCGCAAAAATGGACAAAAAGTGAATGAATTTCAGAAAATCACCGTTTTTGCTGACTTTGAACGGTCACTGCATCCAATTTAGTTGCGGTCATAGGCCTTCCTCGACGCCTTACTATTCTGAAGACCCTACTCTTTCATGCCCCGCCTCGGGAAGGCTTTGACCGCTGATAGTTTCGGAGCAGTGGTCTCGCAAAAATGGTCAAAAGTGATTGAATCCCCGAAAGTATGACTGTCATTTCATTGGATGATGTTGATTATTTCACTGATTACCAACTAGACGTGCAATGATTATCTTGAGTTGGGTACCCCTTGATCCAGATCGTTATCCAGACCGACATCCAGGCCGTCATCCAGGCCGTCATCCAGGTCGTCATCCAGGTCGTCATCCAGGTCGTCATCCAGGTCGTCATTCAGGCCGTCAGCCAGGTCGTCATTCAGGTCGTCATCAAGGTTGTCATCCAGGTCGTCATCCAGGTCGTCATTCAGGTCGTCATCCAGGCCGTCATCCAGGCCGCCTCGGGGCGAGACTCATCTATGCCTTCATCCAGGACATCACTCAGGCTACGTCACACCACCGCGGCTCGCGGCCAGGGCGCCACAGCGTGGAGGAGGTGGACCACGTCAGCCTGTCACACTGTCTGTCTCCCTCCCACTCACGGAACGTCGCGCATGGGAGAGAGACAGAGCGACGAGCGCCGAGTGCCAGTCCGCCGCGCACGCGCCGAGGCTGGGGGACGAGCAAGAGGGACGGGACGAAAAGAAAAAAAAACACCAACCCGACGAATTATCATAAATTGTGTAGGCTGGGGGGAACATCGCCCTCGACGCGCAAATCCTGTTTCTAGCCGTGAGAAGTGGAATAATTCACAAGCGTGTCGTTTACGGACGCGCTGCTTTCTTTCCGCCGACAAGCTGGCTGCGCCAAGGGCTGCGCAGGCCGTCTCGCCCCGTCTCTCTCGCACCCACGGGCCGCACGGGCCGAGCGCCAGAGTGCGAGGGAGACCGATACTGCGGCATCAGTCTGCTGGCGGCGCACGGCGTGAAGCCCGGATGGATTTCGAAAGAGCAGCCCGGTGGAGGCGGGGGGGGGGGGGGGGGGGGGGGGGGAAGGGACGGAGGAAGGGAGGGAGAGAAAAAAAAGCGGTGAAAACGGACAGGACGAGATGAGGTCGGCGGAGAAGGCGTCTCCCGATCCTGCCCAACTCCAACAACCCCCCCCCCCTCCTCCCCTCACACCGCCCCAAGGCCGCACAAGGTCTTAAGCTGCTCGAAATAAGCCAACCACCGGGCAGTATTAGCACCCTGCACTGCCGCCTGCAGCACGGCAAGCCGGTCGCGCCATTTCATTCGCACCATTTCCCCGCCGCCACTTTGGATCAGGGGCTTCCAAACTCCAGGGCGTCACGGAGCGGTAGCGGTGCCCGCTCTCGTCTTGCCGCGCCACTGGACAGCGGCTGCCCTCCCGGCACTGGGTCATTGCGCGCTTTGTCACCTACTAGTGCACTGGCTGCCCGGCACCGCACAGTGGGCCAGAAGGCCGGTGAGGCGGCAAAAGACTCTCGACGCGTTTCGAGCTCCAGAGTCCGCTAAATGGGACTCGAACCGAACGTGTGACCCCACCAATGGATTGCTCTCCGAACGAGGGATCCATTGGTGGGGGTCACACGCTCGGTTCGAGTCCTGTTCAGCGACTCTGGAGCTCAAATCGCGTCCAGAGTTTTGGCCGCTTCCACCCGTCTGGCCCACTGGGCACAGCACGGGTAGCGCCTGCGAGGCAGGCATCGCAGCGACCTGCCGCGCAGCGGTGTGCACCGTGTTGCCTATGCGCCGATTCGCAGGCGGCTGGCTGGGCCGGCTGGACGCGGGCAGCACGTTTTTCAAGTCTTCTGTTGTTGTTTTTCACGTGTCATCCTGCTAAGTCTACATGGCGGGTCTCTCTGGCAAACAAAGACAAGACCGAAGACTCACCCTCGTACGCTTGCCGCTCGGCGTCCAGCATGACGCCCAGGTTGAGGTCGCACTCCTCCTTGGTGTCGAAGGCGAAGGGCCTGGTCACGGTCAGGGAGTTGTCCAGGTCGGCGCCGTCCTCGTCCGAGACGGCGCCGTCGCCGGGGCAGAGGGGCGCGCGGCCGCAGTCGCAGGCGGGGCCCACGATGTTGCAGCCCGACACCAGGATGGCGTCAGAGTCTCTGCACGAGCCGCCAACCTCTGCAAGCAACAAGGGGTTCGCGTCAAACGGTCGTCTCATTTCGACGGCAAGAGGGCCGCCACGCAGTGGGCCAGAAGACCGGTGGAGGCGGCCAGAACTCTTGGCGCGTTTTGAGCTCCAGAGCCGCTAAACAGAACTCGAACCGAAAAGTGTGACCCCACCAATGGATTGCTCTCCGAACGAGGAATCCGTTGGTGGGGTCACACGTTCGGTTCGAGCCCTGTTTAGCGGCTCTGGAGCTCAAAACGCGTCTAGAGTTTCGGCCACCTCCACCGGTCTTCTGGCCCACTGTGCGCCAAGGCCAGGCAGAGCACGCCGACAACCACTCCGCCAGCACTCAGCACTCGATGTGCGTGCGCGGCCGGTCGTGCGCGCAGCGCGTGCCGCATCGGCTTTTTGCGAGGCCGCAGCTCAACCAGTACCTTCAATAATAAAAAGGGTAAAGGAAAACAGGCGGGCGCATATCACACACACACACACACACACACACACACACACAGCGGCGCTCAATGCTAGCCGTGTTCGAGGATGACAGGTATCAGGATAAGGTGGCCTATCTTGGTGGCGGCCCTATGCAGGGCGCGGGGCGTGGCGGGGCGGGGTGGGGCGGGGCGTGAAGGGCGTGCCGTGTACTGCTCTGTTCTATTTCAGCCGCTTGCCGTGCTGCCGTTGGAACGTCGGGGCGCGGGGCGGCGCGGGGCGGCGCGGGGCCGGAGGGCCGTTGGCACGGGGGTAGATGGGGTCCGGATTACACGCGCGCGTCAGGCGGTGGGCGTGCTGCGCAGTGCTGGGCGTTAGGCGGTCGGCGCGCTAAAAGGCCGTGCAGGGCGAAGGCTTTGCCCGTTTCCAGGAATAAACGCTGCGCCGCCGAGCGCCCAGGCCGGATAGGGGTGCGACGCACAGTGGGCCAGAAGACCGGTGGAGGCGGACAAACCTCGAGACGCGTTTTGAGCTCCAGAGTCGCTAAATGGGACTCGAACCGACCGTGTGACCCCACGAATGGATTCCTCGTCCGGAGACCAATCCATTGGTGGGGTCACACGTTCGGCTCAGCTCCCATTTAGCGACTCTGGAGCTCAAAACGCGTCTCGAGGTTTGTCCGCCTCCACCGGTCTTCTGGCCCACTGTGCGACGCTACATTTAGACGCGGCGGCGTGGGCGTTGGCGCGAGCGTGTCCACCGACCGGTGTAGCGGCCGATCGGCCACCAGCGTGTTTCCTGCATGAATATTACGAGGCATTACTTTATTTCCAGTCCGCGGCGGCGGTTTTGTTTTCGTTTTTCGCTGCGACGGGAATAAACCCGCGGGCTCGATGACTGCCTTTCCACTCACCCGCTGCCGGTCGTTTGCGCTTCGCGCGTCAACCTCTGGGATTTCGTGACGCCATCCGCGCTGCGGCAAGGACGCGCACGGCAGGTATTCAACTGCGGCCTCATGACAAGTTTTGTTTTTTTTTTTCAAGTTTCGTGATCGAACTTTTATTTTTAGAGCCCATGAAGGCCTACCGCCGTCCCGGCAGCGTGCAGCCTGCTCACCAAGTCGTTAAAAGCGGCGGAAAAAGGGTTGGAAAAAAAGAAGTGGCGACCACTTGGCACCGCCTGCATGCCTGGCTCGAGGACCTTCCCAGAGAGAGAGAGAGAGAGAGAGAGAGAGAGAGAGAGAGAGAGAGAGAGAGAGAGAGAGAGAGAGAGAAAGAGAGAGAGAGAAAGAGAGAGAGAGAGAGAGAGAGAGAGAGAGAGAGAGAGAGAGAGAGAGAGAGAGTTTAGTTTTTAGTTTATAACAGGATTTATTGGGGGGTTTTTAAGTTCACAAAGCGGGCCAAAAAGGGGTGTGTGAAAATTTGTCACAAAAAACATGCAGTTTTAATGTCTCTTGAGGTATTTATGGTGCATGATGCAGTGTTTTACAATTTGTTTTTTTTTTATTTTTTATATTTAAACAATTAACATTTTTTTTTAAATAAAGAAAATAAGATAATTTAATAAAGAAAAAAAAGATAAGTAAATAATATGCATTTTTAAGGATACTTCAAAAAGGTTGTCTTTATGGCGCCGTGCAGGTAGGCAACAGCGCACTGGCTCTCTTCGGTGTGACGATGGTGGCCTATGCTCAGGGTGGCAGGGGCCCGGTTGACAGCAAAATGATGACTGATTTAGACTTGCAAGAAATGGATTGTAGATATGTTTACATTGAAATTGTTTTTCTGGAATTCTTCTTTCTTCTCCCTTCTTCATTTTCTACAAAGTGGTGATTTCCTCTTTGAAGAAAAGAGAGGAGAAATTGATTCGAGGGGTTGGTATTTCTCCTTGTTTACATTTTCTTCTTTTTCTTTTTCTTGAGTTTGAAGCTTGTTGATTTTGCTTGTGCTTTTCTAATCAGATAATTAAAAATTTCTGAGGGCATTGTTGATGTAGAAAGTCTCTTCAAACTTAATTCTGAAACCTGTTACTTCAGCGTGAGCGCCGTTTGGGGCCCAGGGGGGCGCAACCCCGGGTTCGAACCAAAAAGGGCCCCACCAATTGGATTGGCCCCCCTCCCGAACGGGCCTTGGGGGGCGGGGGGGCGGCGGGCCCTTTTTAGGGGGGGCCCCTGGAGCCCAAAAGGCGTCAGAGTTTCCGGCCCCCAACCCCCAAACCGGGGTTTCGGAAAAACGGTCGCCACCAGGAAAGGGGGCCGCCCCCAACCAAAACCCGGGGGGCCCAGAACTCAGGGCTTTTGAGCCCGAGGGGTAAAAAAACTCGCCGAAAATGTACCCCAAAACCTGAACAAACCGGGGGGGAATTGGGTTACCCTTTTTGGGTCTGGACCAAAATTTGGATTTTGGCCAATAAAACGGAAATTCCCCCCCCGCCCCAATAAAGCGGAAAACTGCCGACCGTTTTTCAAAGTGCCCCTGGGTGCGCGGCCGGTCGTGCGCGCAGCGCGTGCCGCATCGGTTTTTTGCGAGGCCGCAGCTAAACCCAAGTACCTTCAATAAAAAAAAGGGGTAAAGGAAAACAGGCGGGCGCATATCACCCACACAAACACACCCCCCACAACACACACCCACACACACACACACACACAAAAGCGGCGCTCAATGCTAGCCGTGTTCGGGGATGACAGGTATCAGGATAAGGGGGCCTATCTTGGTGGCGGCCCTATGCAGGGCGCGGGGCGTGGCGGGGCGGGGGGGGGCGGGGCGTGAAGGGCGTGCCGTGTATGCTCTGTTCTATTTCACCCGCTTGCCGTGCTGCCGTTGGAACGTGGGGGGGCGCGGGGCGGCGCGGGGCGGCGGGGGGCCCGGGGGGGAGGGGGCCGTTGGCACGGGGGTAGATGGGGTCCGGATTACACGCGCGCGTCAGGCGGGGGGTGTGGGGCAGTGCTGGGCGTTAGGCGGTCGGCGCGCTAAAAGGCCGTGCAGGGCGAAGGCTTTCCCCGTTTCCAGGAAAAAAACGCTGCGCCGCCGAGGCCCAGGCCGGATAGGGGTGCGACGCACAGTGGGCCAGAAGACCGGGGGAGGCGGACAAACCGAGACGCGTTTTGAGCTCCAGAGTCGCTAAATCGGACTCGAACCGACCGTGTGCCCCCACGACTGGTTTCCCTCGCCCGGAGACCAATCCATTGGTGGGGTCACACGTTCGGCTCAACTCCCATTTAGCGAATCTGGAGCTCAAAACGCGTGTCTCGAGGTGTGTCCGCCTCCACCGGTCTTCTAGCCCACTGTGCGACGCTACTTTTAGACGCGGCGGCGTGGGCGTTGGCGCGAGCGTGTCCACCGCCCGGGTGTAGGGGCCCCGATCGGCCACCAGCGTGTTTCCTGCATGAATATTACGAGGCATTACTTTATTTCCAGTCCGCGGCGGCGGTTTTGTTTTCGTTTTCGCTGCGACGGGAATAAAAACCCCGGGTTCGATGACGCCTTTCCACTCACCCGCTGCCGGTCGTTTGCGCTTCGCGCGTCAACCTCTGGGATTTCGTGACGCCATCCGCGCTGCGGCAAGGACGCGCACGGCAGGTATTCAACTGCGGCCTCGTGACAATTTTTTTTTTCAAGTTTCGTGATCGAACTTTTATTTTTAGAGCCCGCGAAGGCCTACCGCCGTCCCGGCAGCGTGCAGCCTGCTCACCAAGTCGTTAAAAGCGGGGGGAAAAGGGTTGGAAAAAAAAAAAGTGGCGACCACTTGGCACCGCCTGCATGCCTGGCTCGAGGGCCTTCCCCAAAAAAAGAGAGAGAGAGAGAGAGAGAGAGAGAGAGAAGAGAGAGAGAGAGAGAGAGAGAGAGAGAGAGAGAGAGAGAGAGAGAGAGAGAGAGGGGGAAAAGGGCAAAAAAAAAAGGATTTATGCATTTACCCTTGGCAAGAATAGAGGCATGGCACCTTATCGCCGCGACAGTGACGAATGTCCCTCTTCCTGGCAGCTGCAGGCGGGGTGGGGTGGGGCGGGGTGGGGCGGGGCGGAGCGTTCCATTGTTGATGCTGACCGTGACGTGCCGCCAGTGCGTGGCGCCGCCGCCATGCCGCCGCCATGCCGCTGCACCGCGTCGCGTCACGTCGCGCTGACTGCGCAGACAACAATGCGCCCCGCCGTTTCGCCGCTTCGCTGCTGCGCTTCCGGACAAGGAATAGCGAAGCAGCCAGGCCAATTCGAGCGGCGCAGTAAACGGACTTTGTTGCGAGGCGCGGAGCGCGAAGCGCGAAGCCAATCTCGGTGCGCCGTTTTGAATAGTTGGCGGCGCCACCGCCGCTGGCGACGCCTGTAAGCTGCCCGAGTCATACAGAAAGGAGGCGTCGCACAGTGGGCCAGAAGACCGGTGGAGGCGGCCAAAACGCGTTTTGAGCTCCAGAGTCGCTATATGAGGCTTGAACCGAACGTGTGACCCCACCAATGGATTGCTCTCCGAACGAGGAATCCATTGGTGGGGTCATAGGCCTACGTTCGGTTCGAGGCCTTTCAGCGACTCTGGAGCTCAAAACGCGTCTAGAGTTTTGTCCGCCTCCACCGGTCTTCTGGCCCACT